ATGAACCGATGTGCAGATCTGCTGATATTCGCGCACGTGGTTACTTACGCGCTTCTACTGCGTGAAAAGAAACCGCCCCGTCTCAAGAGCAGATGCGTACATATCGCTCTTATCGCCAACAATGTTCTTGCGCGCCGGTTCTACATTAGCAAGACGAAAGATGCGGAGGAAGACGAAGCGATGACACGTAACGTCGCGCGCTCAATCTTCCGCCCGCTAAATACCAAACAGATTGAGCATATCAACGGGCGCGTGAGACTAATGTTTTCCAGTCCTGCATGAAACCGTATCCATGTTTTTACATCGGCCGACCGTCGGTACCCGCTGGCATCGGGCGCACCTAGCAGCCGGCGCTCAACACCGACGCAACTCTGCCGCTCAGGGTATAGTCGATGTAAGAAAAGGATGCTGACGTTTTTACGTGCCGATCAGCGTCTGGTACTTGGTTAAAGAAATATCATATCTGATACTCTATTGGGCAATACATGCTCTAGTTACAAAAGCAATTCCACCGAAATAGACACGGATCGAAAACATGAAACAGAAAGATACAATAATTGGATAAGTACAGCGGTTAGCGAGTAAATTATGTTAAGTGCGCACTTTGTACTCGCAACGAAACGTCTTTAGTATGAGAGCGAAAGAGAAAGAGAGAGAAAGAGAGGGAGGGGTTGGAGGGAGGAGGAAGGCAGGCATGGAAGAAGGGAGGAAGGGAGGAAGGGAGGAAGGGAGCAAGGGAGGGAGAGAGGAAGCTATAGGGAGCGAGGGAGGGTGGGAGGAATGGAGAAAGGGAGGAAGGGAGGACGGGAGTGAGTGAGTGAGTGAGTGAGTGAGTGAGTGAGTGAGTGAGTGAGTGAGTGAGTGAGTGAGTGAGTGAGTGAGTGAGTGAGTGAGTGGGTTCGGTGAGTGAGTGAGTGAGTGAGTGAGTGAGTGAGTGAGTGAGTGAGTGAGTGAGTGAGTGAGTGAGTGAGTAAGTGAGTGAGTGAGTGATGGAGCGAATGCGTGAGTGAGTGCGTGCGTGAGTGCGCGAGAGAGCATGTGAATGAGTGGGTTAAAGAGAATCAATTAATTAGAGAGTCTATGACTCAGTTAAAATGAAGGAGGGGGAAAACCACCGACTGCACTGATTCCGTGCGCGCTCTGCAGCCACCAAGCATTCTGCCTCAATAATTACGCACAGGTACTCTTTCCGAATGATTAGGCTCAACCTGTTGTTCGCAGGCATCAGACAAAGTAAGTGAACAGCGCACGGCTGGTTGCCGGAGGAGCGCAGCAGCGGGTATCGGCGCAATTAAACGATATAATATTCTTTAAATTAATTCCATAAATTATTAAACCGCAATTATACGGGAAATAATATTAAAAACAAATTTTTTTCCCCCTCATCGCGCAGTATCTCACTGGGCGTCGCAGTTACTAACCTGTAGACACGCATCGCCAGCGTACGACAGCATTCGCGTAAAAGAAATCAGAGAGCTGGTAACTTATTTCGAGAATCGAACAGATGCTGGCAGCTCGGAGACCGATCCACTGCGCGATAGCATCGGCTGTGTGTACAAGATTAAGAGGCGAGGCGCGCGCGACGAATGAAATATCGGGTTCGCTTACATCTCTCTATCTCCCACACGACACACGCAAAAAAGCTAAAGCGGGCCCGATGACTGCACGCTGGTGCGTCACGTCCCAGCCACGACACCAGCAGCCAATAGCAGCAGCATCGGCAGCATCAGCAGCAGCAGCAGCAGCAGCGGCGGCAGCAGCAGCCGCACCTGCAGCAGTATCACCTCCGCTACCATCGCTATCATCCCCATCATCATCTTCCTCCTCCTCATCATCATTATTATCATCATTATAATCATCATCATCTTCTTCTTCTTCTTCGGCATTGTCGTCATCATCATCATTATCATCATCATCATCACCGCCACCGCCACCGCCACCAGCAACACCACCACCAACACCACCACCACCACCACCACCAGCAGCAGAAGCACCACCACCACCACCACCAGCCAGCAGCAGCAGCAGCACCACTGGCAGAAACACATGGCCCACCATCATTTATGAAAGCGACCACTTGGAAACAAAGCAGCAGATCTCGAGAGTGGGTGAATTTACACGCTCGGCCGTCATCGGCCTCCCCCGTCTTCACCTCGCGTGACCCTCCTCCCTTCATCTCTTCATCCTCTCGCTGCGGCGTGGCAGCGGCGCGCCCGATACTGTTTATGCTAGCGCGCTCCCCCTCTCTCCCGGCCGCAACTTTTGTTTCATAACAAAGTGGTGGGCTTGGACGGACAGACGAGGCGGTTTTAGCAGCAATCGCTGAGCAACTGAGAACCGATTTGAATTCGTACGTACGTACGTGCCCGTATGCCTTCGTGCCTGTGCGTATCTGCATGTAGGTACGTGTGCCTGCCTGTGTGTAGGCAAGCACGTGTGCGTGCATGTGCGTATGTAACTGCGTGTGCGTGCGTGCGTGCGTGCTGCGTGCGTGTACATTTTCATGCAGTGCAAGCGCGTGGTAGATCTACTAGCAATTGCTGACGGAGAGAGAGGGCGGCACGTCCGAAACAGATTCGCTGAACTCGAAAATTGCGAGATTGGCACGTAAATATTTCGGTGACTCGCCCCGAATAGGTTCTGACAGTTTTTAGCGAGAAGACAAATAAGCAGGATTTGCTGAAGTTTGTAATGCTATTATACACAGCGATGCTTCAGTATTTCATGTCACCTCGGTTCCCATTCTAATGACACAGGGAGAGATGACTGGAAGGGAAAGACACACACAGAGAGGGAAAGAAGTAGAGTGTAGTGTGCGAGAGTGTGAGAATGTGAGTGTGTGTGAGCGAGAGAAGGGGAAATAGAGAGCGAGCTAGTGTGGCGAGGCGAGAAGAACAGGAAAGTGAAGGCGTGCGTGCGCGAGTGAAAGGGAGAGAGAGACAAAGACAGAGACAAAGAGAGAGAGAGAGAGAGAGAGAGAGAGAGAGAGAGAGAGAGCGCGCGCGAGCGAGAGTGAAGAGAGGGCGAGAAAGAGAAAGAGAAAGGCACCACCAGGGAGCGGAGCAAAGATGCGACCCTGCTACACAAGGCAGCGATCGAATCTCTGCAGACACATTAATACCATTAGTCGCCACTGTAAACCCGCGGCAGCATTTCTACACGATGACCTGTCCAAATCACCCCTCCTACTCCAACGTGGCATAGTGCAGACATAATGCCACTGGATAATCTGCTTTTCTGGACCTAGAGGCCACAAGACCGATGTGCGTTAAACCTATTAGGCCGTGTAATGCTATGAGGTTAATAAAATTCACGATCGACCACCGTGTTCGGCTCATATAATGTTCAGCGGGGGTGAACGCGGCACGTGGGTGACGAACCGAGGCGGGGGAACATAGATGGCGGCGGTGGCGGAGGACATGCATGTAGGCACGGTTAGGTAATCCCACCGGGTTATAGACGGCCAGGAAGGAGAGAGCGGCTAGAGAGATCTAGCAGCGATTATCTGTGGTAATGCGGGAGAGCACGGTGTAATACGGGGCGCGCGCAGAGTCGCGTGAGTGAATATGCTAGAGTGAGTGAGTGCTGCTGCTGATCCATGTCAGCGGAATGTGATCCGTACAGATCGGACGCCGCGACTGGTCGCGAGCGAGATAGAGATAGAGATACAGATACAGATACAGATACAGATAGATAGAGAGAGAGAGAAAGAGAGCGCGAGAGAGGGTAGATATATAAGAAAGAGAGGGAGAGAGATTAAGGATAGAGATAGAGAGAGAGAGAGACCGAGAGAGAGGGGAAGACAGAAAGATCGAGATGGGGAGAATGGGTGATTAAGTGAGATATAGATAAATAGGGCGAGAACAAAGGAGGGAATTTGGCAGAAAGAGAGAGAAAGAGAGAGTGAGAGAGAGAGAGAGAGAGAGAGAGCGAGAGAGGGGGAGACGCCGTCCGTCAGAACAACGCTGCTACAGCGATTCCATTCCAGCGTGTAGATTTCTGTTTCCATAGTCCGCGTGATGACCGAGGCGATGTACATTAAACAGCGTATATATATATATATCAAGAGTAGATAATAACACATTATTACTAACATCATTAATAATCATTAATAACACGTTATTATCTACTCTTGATATATATATATATAAACATTATAGTTCCACGAAGTATAAATGATTTGGCTGCGCAGCATCCTTTCTCCGTCTCAGCGAACACGGTTGTGTGGGAGTAACTGCTACTCCTACTCGATGCAGGCATGTAGGCAGCATGCAGTCTCTCACGCTTGCCACACCGAGCGCTACAACCGCGACAGTGAAAGTTCGCATTTCGCATTTCGCATGAGCCTTCTGGGCTTTCGTAGAAAGCCTCTTCACCGAATTCGATTCCGCTAGTAGGCTGCACATATAAGCTACACGATAGCAGATCGCACCGATATTGCGACCGTTAAATCGAAATCTGCTTAAATCGACTACTTAAGTAAATTGTATAATAATACACGCAGCAAGGCACATACGGCTGCGGAATGGGATATACTACCCACCACTGATACATAAGCCATCTTTCCAAAATAAAACGATTGAAACCTCGTAAATAAATTCTAATTATGTTAGTCCACACTTGTGTAAATATCACTTGAAATGTTAATGTATTCTATGTCGTCTGATTGTTTCATTTGCGCTTCAGTTTCAGTTGTTGAAAAGTGTTTGTGCAGCGTAAATACATATAGTGCCACCACGCGAATGCCTATGAACGAATATATATATATATATATATATATATATACATATATATATATAATACATATATATTACCACGGTGTATTACCCGTACTACTATGAACTGCCACGATGTATGTGCTATACCCGTTCGGCGTGACTGTTGAACAAGACAATGGCAGTAACAGGGCATGCAGTAACAAATATGGTAAAACATTGTTGTTTAGTGTTTTTATTGAAAAATACACATGTTAGGGTTCGCACAGGCTTTATAACACTTACCGTTCATTGTCTGTACGTTCCTAGGATTTCTCGCTCTAACGTCCTCCGGACTGAAACGACCATTGTTATCATCACCCGACGAGCTGTCGTCATGACGACTAAACTCTTTGCTCCTCTGCCTCCTCATCCTGCCCTGGCCGGGCGTCCTGCGGTTACGCTCTTGCCAATCGGTCTGTCCGGCATCCATCGATGGACAACAGCAGTAGACTCAGTGCGGGCGCGTCACGTGGGTGGCGTCGTCCATGTATAAGTCTTCGCTCCTGGCGAGAAAAGATCGAGAGAAGTTCTTACTTCGTTCCACGGCTAAAGCTCGACAAAAACATCGGGTCTGCGGTGTGCACGGTTATTTCAACCAAACGACGGCAACAGTGAGAGAAATTGCAGCGTTGCACGAGTGGGGGTTCTCTGTTTCACAATACAGAGGAAGTTGCAATTTGCTAGCCGCGGTTGTACGCCGGCATTCGAAATGTCAATTGTCACCATTTCCTGCCAATTAAATCAACAGCGTTTTTTGAAGTGAAAATTGTTACCGGAGTGTAAATGCAGTTCTGTTTAACTTTCCACTTTTCTCTGAAATCACAACGCTCGCGAATGAATGTGTAGCAGTAGAACACAAAGCTATGTGCCTCGGCTCGCACACACGGTGTGGGCCCGCGCACGCGCTGCAGGCGTCTGCACCAGTCTGTGACCAAGCAACTTCTGCCTACTGCGTAACCACATGCAAAACTGTGTATCTAAGGCAAGTGTATGTTTGTGTAAGGCGCATTCCCGACAGGTTGCCTGGTATCTTAGGGGTATATCGGGTTGACTACCCTGCATCTCCCGGTTGAGCTGTCTGGCTTGCGAACAGCCGCAGCCGATGATAAGCGTAGTGTCGACGGAGCAGGGTATACGTATATGCTATTCGTTGTCAATGTGCACAGGCCCGCATATGAGTGACGATCAGCTGTGTGTGAGAAGATTTGTCTGTTATTGCGCCGGCATCGTAACATCATAAGTGAAGTGTGCGGTGCGTGTACGCGTGCATATGCGAGCAAACATAGACGACGCATAAAATTCACATAGTGAAAACGAAATCCGGCATGCGCATGCGCACGGCGGCGGGGTCAGACGCGAGGGCTTCCGTAGGAAAAATAAATACAATTATCTCCGCGAATGGCATTGCGTCTAACGTGACATGTCTGCCCGATGAACCGCATTTCCAAAGTTTTGCATATTGAATTACGCGTGCCTAATTATCGAGTCTGTCTCTAACGATTCGAAATAAGGTTAGCAATCAGGCGGAGATAATGGCGGCTTAGAAACATGGGGTCGCTACAATACGAGCAGCGACCGACTCGACACCAGCTATGATCAGACGCGTTTGTAATCACAGACACCGCGTCCGCAGCAGCGTTTATATTCACGCAATGTTCGTAATCACAATCACGAGTCCGGAGTTGAAGCGCGTCTGCGATTGAACGCGATCTCGTCTGAGCGCTCACCCGCCCGCGAGACCGGTGCGATACCAGCGCCACCTACTCGCGGGCGCGTACAGTACACGCGTTTGTGATTAAACGCGCGCTCGAAAGTGTGTAATTTAATAAGGAACTAGGCCAGACTTGTCGACACCGATCGCCGGACATTGCAAGTAGTGTAGATTTTGATTAGCAGCTGATGGGGAGAAGGATTGGTTGCGGAGGCGCCAATTCTGTCAATATTGGACCGGATACGGTGAAGCGCACACACGCCCGCGCACACACATACGCACGCACGCACGAACGCATGCACGCACACATACATACGTATATGCGAACGCGAGCATGCACGCTCTCTCGCACACGCGCACCTATTTCCTCCGTTGTAACCCATATACACATGCACATATTACACGCACGTACGAACGCAGGAGCGCACACATATACGCACACATGCGCGAACGCGATCACGATCTCTCGCACGAACACGCGCTTATTTCCACCGCCGTAAACTAGTGAGCGTCTGCGACCGTTTGTCGCTAGCCGCCGCAACACGCGTCGCAACATGCCTAATAAACGCCCGACGACTGATTCACCCGGAGATTTATAATGAAATTATTTAAAACGCGTCGTCGTCGTGTCCGCGTCCGACGACTGTCTCCCCCCCCCCGCGCGCGGCTCTAGCGCCCCGATGCTTGCATCTAATTAACGTCGACACGGCGCTGAGCAATCTTTCACACGCGCCGCAGTCGTCCGAATCATAATCACATTGCCAAGCTTTTTACCAGCCCCGACACACACACGTCCCGCTACACACACGTCCCGCTAGGTGAATTTTTTAATAGCACAATAATTTGGTATCACGTCGTTATTCTACACCGCGTGCTGTAACGCGCGTATAACCATGGTGTGTGTGTTTGTGTGTGTGTGTGTGTGTGTGTGTGTGTGTGTGTGTGTGTGTGTGTGTGTGTGTGTGTGTGTGTGTGTGTGTGTGTGTGTGTGTGTGTGTGTGTGTGTGTGTGTGTGTGTGTGTGTAAGCACCGCCCCTAGTTGTGTTAGCCGTAGTTACGCGAATTTAGTACGCGCGTGTTATGTTACGATTGTTGATTAGGGCGGCTTAACCATCACAGATACGTTACGTGACGAAGAGCACAGCGGTTTGTCAGTAGGACAGATCATTGGTTAGGTGCGAAGGCTCAGTATATACACAGCGCGTGTGTATTGTGGGGTATGCGTGAAGCGAAGAAGAGAGAGGGGGGGGATATTCATCAGCAGTATCCATAATATTGATCTACCTATTATATCTATCATCTATGTTATGGCGCTCCCTGATATCTAAGCCTTCACACTAACTACGCGTGGAAAACGTTCCACCTTGTGCTCACATTTCAGCAGAAACGTTATATATGCGGCGGAATACGGCAGCTACGGCAGCCAGCGAAGCAGCAGGGCCAGCCCATTCGATAGGCAATAGCAGCAGTGCCCAGCAGCAGTGGCATCGGCAGCGAATACAGCAGCAATAGCCAGCAACAACAACAGCGCAGCAAACAGCAGCATTGACAACAACAACAAACTAGCGCAGTCAGCCAACAGCATCAGTGACAACAACAACAACAGCGGCTGGCAGCAGCAGCAAAAAAACAGCAGCATCATCAACAGCGGGCAGTGCCAGCAGCTAGCAACAAACAACAGCCAGCAGTGACAACAAACAAACACAGCCACAGCAACAACAACAGCAGCAGTGACAACAACAACAAACAACCAGCAGCGGCAGCAGCCAGCAGGCAGCAGCATCCAACAGCGGCGCCAGCGCGCATCATCTCACGCACGCACTAACGAACTAACGACAATCAATTAATAATCATCTGCATCATCCGCGTATCTGGCGTGAGAACGCCCACCGGTCTCGGCGCGAGCCACGCATAGGCTAATGCGCTGGGTGTGTTGGTGCAGTCGAGGAGGGCAGCAGATGATGTCACAGTAGTACGGCCAACAGAAGTTAGCGATTACTCATCGTAACAATACACCGATTGACACCACACATGCCCACACGCGGATAACAGATTTTTTTATGCAATTTATATTACTCATTCGCATGTAGGGTATCTACGCTGCCACACTTCCCATTGGACCGATTGGACTTATATGGAGTATATGGACTATTCCTACAAGCTATCGTGCGTGTAGGCATATTCATTCACTAGCATAATTAATCGTGCTGATTATAATCAAGCTATTATCATGTAAATCGTTGGTTAGTTGATATTGCCGTAAGATTTCTTACATTGAAGCGTTAGGACACTTGCCATTGACTGGTGTAATAGATCAAAATAAATTAAGTTCGATCAGCGTATTCGCTCACAGGCACTTGGACGTTCTCAATAAATTGTAAAAATTTCATGCCTAAATTTAACTACGAATGCTACCAAAGTCTTAATGTTTTTCTTGCCTTGTGTTCGCCCTGGTGCTGCGTAGCACAAACAACATGAACTCTCTCTTGGCTTTATTCATGTTGTTTGCTGCACGCAGCACAGGGCTGCCGGCGTGCGGTTATACTTGTGTGGTTGCAGATTGCAGCATTTTGACCTGCGCATTTACAGGCTGATAAGGCGAGATAGAGTACGAGAAAACATTAAGACTTTGGTACATTTCGTGTTTATTTACCATTAATTTTTTTTCATTGAGGACGTTCCAAGCTGCCTGTGATTCCGCCTAGCGCTTACTATGCCACGCCTCATCTCGCTCTACGCAGCTTTGCGCGCCAACCCACCACGCCTGCGTCTGCGCCATAATGCCTGTGAAAACTTGGAAACATTCCTGCCAGGTATAGGTCAACTGCGATGAAATTGCCGCATCCGCCGGCCGCTTACTAATTATTATTTACGGCTAAAATCAGAAAATACTGTATTCTAACAGGCAAGCTTAATTGGACGCACTATTTTCTCGGTTCTATTCTCGGCGCCTCTCCTCCAATATTTTTCATCGTGGATACTTGCAACTAGCGATGATATTACGGGCGCGTATACTCACAAAACAAGCATATTACAGGTAATTTTCTTATCAGATCGGGAAAAACAAACCACGATTTGCGGGCGAAACTCGGTCGTATTATCGAGCGCAGAGGAACAGACCTGCGTAACGAGGCAATTTCTGTACAGAAATAGATAATTTTGCGTCAAATCTGCTTCCGGCGTAAAATGATCATTCTTGATCAGTTCGACAGACTTTTCGCCGTGCCTCTGTGTGATGCGCGAGGTTAGGACGCCATTGGAAGCTGCTTCTGAAGTGCTTCGCTCCGCATGGTAAAATTACTTGCCGCAATTGAAAATTCAGCCATCAGTGCGAATCGCCTTTTCGACGCGACGTGTATAATACCGAGCTGCTGCTGCTAAGCTTATACTGGAAACAAACTGGCACCGTAGCCGCGCATCTAGTGTCCTGCACTCTATATACAAACAAAGCGAATAGTAAAAATGTTCGTTATAAATGCGATCTTGTTAATTGCCGTCACATTAAACTTAGACGGATAATTCAAGAGGACGCAGAAAGTCAGCGGGGAGACCGATTACATTGATTCCCTCTGCCCAAATTAAATCAAGGAATTCAAAAATTCTCAAGCCGATTACTAACTTCCTACGGAAATCTTGTTTGTAATGAGATATTCGCTATTAGAACATAATCAATTGGCGGAATCGGATTTCGCGCAGGCAACACGTGGGGTTATTAAAACGCTTATTACACTCCAGCCTTTTTCAGATTAATCGCAGTTATTGAATCTCCGACGAGCGCAATATTTTACATTG